CCCCCCAGCTCTCCCCGCCCCCCTCCCCCGCGGGAGGGCCTTGGCGCCCGCCGCGCCTGCGCCCCCTTCCCGCCCGCGGGGCCCGCAGTGACCCCTGCCGGGCGCGCCGCTTCGCGCCTGGGGAGTACGGGGGGTCTCCCAACCGCTCTCTTGCTCACTCACTCATTCATTCAGTCGTTACGCATGGACTGTTTCCTTCGTACCTATCCCTTCCCGCTCCCTCTGCACGACCAGCGACCCTGCAGCACTCTGTAACGAGGTTGCCAGAGGATGCAGCTCTAGGCAAGGTCCCCGACCCCTGCCGGTTCCAAACGCTCCGCGATTCTTCCCAGAGAGAGGTGCGCCTTTCCTCCTGTGCTCTCTCCGCCTCGTCCTCCAGGTAAAAATGGGCGGGTCTGAGAGCCTGTCTTTTTTTAAAAATTATTCATTTTATTTTATTATTATTATTTAATTTGCTGTAGGGCATGTGCACTCTCCAGAGGGAGAGAGAAAGTGAGAAAGCAAGCCACCAGGTGTGGTACCCAACTACGCCATGTGGGAGCCCGGCATCCCAACCACCGCGCCACCTGTTGATCTCGGTCTTCTGATGATGGGAGCAACTTGTTTTCAGCTCTGCTTCCCTCACCACCACCTGCTGTGCTCCGTGCCTCTTTTCCGCTGAGGAGCTGTTTGGGAGCTGGGTGTTGGAGGTGATTTATTTATTTATTCTCCTATGTGCCATTTAAATCTTTTATTAATAAAATAGAAACCTAAACTCAGACAACCATTTTATTCTTGCATCTACTCTAACCATATTCTGTGAAAGCAATTCTAAGTGAACTGTCAATATACAGTTCCATCAAAAACTGCAAATTAGAAAGCCTACAGTTAGGTATGAAACTTTTTTTAAAATTCAACTTTATTGCTGGGCGCGTGTGCGTGCGTGCTCAAGATCCCAAGAGGAGAATGGAGGAGAAGGGATTGCGGTGTGACCATCCCCCTTGGGGGGTGATTTCTCGCTTTCTGTCTCTATGTCTCTTTCTGTCTGGCGAGCGCATGCGCCCTATAGTGAAAATCTCTCCAAAAAATAAATAAATAAATAAATAAATTCAACTTTATTTATTTTTAATTTGACCAGAGATAGAGGATGGGAGGGAGGGAGAGAGAGAGAGAAAGGGAGAAACCAAGCCGCCAGGTCTGGGACTCAAACTGTGCTTGGCCGTGTGGGAGTCCAGCGCCTTTAACCACCGCGCCACTTGCTGGCCCCGGTAAATGAAACTTTATTTAAAAAGAACAAATTAAATATTAGATATCACAGGATTCTCTCTCTCAAACATGAGAGGCCTCCTTTAATGTAGTCTTCAATATAGCTCATCTGCAATCAGTTGATCTAAATTCTAGACCAGTCCCGTTGCAGAAGCACTGAAAGAAAAAATGGGGGGGGAGTGATCTTCGGGTGATCTTCACACCTCCGTTGTAAAATCCGAGATCCAAAGGACTGTCATCTTCTTTAAACTGGACATCAATGCAGACACGATGGTTGCCTTGGTTGTTAATCTTCCAACTACTCTATAAAGCCAGAAAGTTCTTCGTTAAGAGGCGGCATCAACTCAACGGTCCCATTTTTCATTCTCCGTCTGAAAGGAGAAACATTTTTCCAATGGGATGAATCTTTTCCAGTCTCCATACAGAGCGGAGGGACCATCGATGAGCTGAGCTCGCAAGCTAGCATTGATGCGCAATCTGGGCACGCCATCACTTCCACCTGATGACTGCGCAAGAGTGTTTTAAAGTTAGGGAATGGGACCAGCAGTTGGTATAATGGCTATATTGCTGAATTCCCATGGAGCTAACTGTGGTTCGAGTCCCAGACCCGGTGGCTCAAACTCACGCCGGGCGCGTATGCATGCGTGCCCAAGATCCCGAGAGAAGAATGGAGGAG